CTAACTCATCAGTATAAGTGACCAAACCAGTCGTATCCAGTTTCATTGTTTCAAGTAACATTTTTGGTCAACTTGTGGTTTCTAACCTTTGGTAATCCAGTCTAATCCAGCAATCGTATTCTTTAGTTTGTAAACTAGTGATCCTAAAAGAACCTGAACATTCAGGATTTGAAAGACTGAATAAATCTTCTGAGTTTGTTTGAATTCAACTTTAATTGTGATTAAAATTTAATTGTGTTTAAATCAACTCTACGTTTGTAAACGAATTGAACTGTTTAACCTTTCAAATGATTCATTAACAAAAATACGATTAGATTCCAATCTGATGTGAGCACTTTGCAAGTTTGGGCATGAATCCATGAACTGGAAACCATAATAAATGTCTGTACCATCGTACGATGATAAGGACAATTCAACGATTTTAAGTTTTCTCAATATGGGACCATCGTAAAGCCAATCTGGGCTACCTGAGGATGAAAGATGAATGTCTATTTCAAATGTCTTCAAAATATAAAAGTTTTAAATATTACCTTCATTATTAGAAATAGATAGTCTTTCAAGATTTGGAAAATAATGAGCATCTTCCTTGAATCTGTTCAGAGTACAATTCCAAAGGTGCAATTGTTTAATACTGACACCATTCTTTTCCATGCATGGATCTACGTAATTGGTGGATACCATTTCGAGTTGATCACAATGTTGGAAAATTGATTGCTCTGTGTTATAAAATTCATGGCTATTTCCTTCTAAAGATGGCATCTTTTTAATCAATGTAACGATATCTTCATGTTTTCCTTTTATACAGAGTCCATAATAAAAATCGGCAATCTAAGGTAATCAAATGCCATGTATATAAGAACTTGAATATTCAGTAAACAATAAAAGCTCAATGATTAAACAAACCATTAGATTTGGAAATAATGTGCTCAGACAGTTTCCATCAATTGGTTCCTCTGTTCGATAATAAACATAACCAAACGTATTACTTGGAGATGTTTCATCATGCCGCCAATGTCGATTTTCTGAAAATATAAATTAGTTAAATGAGGGAATTAATTAATAATGAGAATAAGTATCAATAACAATGAGTCTTACCAACCAAATATTCAACTTTTCTGGTTCGCTCCGCAATTAAATGGCTCCATTTGCTGCATACTGCAAAGAAATTTTACATTGAGTTACTAAATTTTCTGTTTGATTTGTTTGATGATTATGCTTTAACCACAACGTGATAAAAATTTGCAAAAATATACAAATGCTTTAAATGATAATATTCATCAAATTGTAATAATCTAGATTGAGATACTATAGCAATGAGATTAATCGATAGCTTAATGGTTTAAACTTGGATCCTAAATCAGATCAGAGTATCTGATCCAGAGGTGTAACTTACTTTTTGTTTAAAATAAAATTACCTTTATAGCAGTAGACACCGAAGCCAGTCAGTCATTCACCAATCGACTGACTAAGGGTTACAACGACTGATAGTCGACTTGAGTCGACTTAGTCGACTCACAACTTCATCGACTCAAGTCGACTAAAGTCGACTCGAGCAATAGGCAACTGAACTACAAAACTGATACATGCTGAATTTATATTGAGTCAAAGATGAAAACTATCTGAAATAAACGTTTTTTTTCAAAAAATGTTTACAAAAACAAACTTTTCGTCGACTCAGTCGACTCTTATTGCAGTCGACTGAGTCGACTTAGTCGATAGCTCAAACGACTGGCGCTCAGTCGGCTTTCAATCGACTGACTGACTGACTCAATCGACTGACTTCGGTGTCTATATAGCAGTTTAATAAATCCTCCAGTTCATTTATCAGACCAAAAATAATGAGCAAACAGTCGTCTGGAAGTTCATTGATAAACATTATAAAATCACTCAATGCTTGAACCTAACTAATCACTCCACAATACAGATGATCCGATCTAGAGATGAATTTGGTTTTAACAAATATAAACTCCAATATCCATGAAAGTTAGAAAATTAAAGTTATTTAGAGATCAAACACATCAACAGCAATGACATTTGTTAAATGTTACAATAATAAATAATGTGATTATAAAGATACAAACAGATCTTGATGGTGACAGCCAAAGAGTAAAAGTATCAATATCTGTCCATAATACTTGATACCAAGAAACACACACAATCTGATAAATTATCTGAAAGCGCCAGACTGAAACAGTTAAAGTCTGTATATTGTGATTCTTTGGTGTGCTGACATCTATGATTACAACATGACAACAGTTAATTTTGCAGTATAAACAATTTAATCCTGCTTAATGAACTCCACCTCAAAAGTAAAAAGGTAGAAAGGCTTAAAGGGTATCAAAAATTGTTGATATCTTTTTGTGACCCTCAGAAAGATTACATACATGTACATTTTATATTGATGCGAGACTCAAAAACGAGAAGTTTCAGAAACTCATGAAAATAGTTTCACGTTCTGCTGTAGTGCATTTACAAATCGGCAAGTTTTCCTCATAAACTTTTGTTGAGAAACTTTAGGATTTTCAATCTTCAATAGTTTTCAGTTCTCAGAGCAATTAACAAGACCCATTGATGGTTACCCTTGCATAGTTAACTTGACTTATGACGGATAAAAGCACTTTTAAGTTTATCTCCAGGTCTTATTTGATCAGGCAAAGGTTTGGTTGATTTCTTTTCAGTTTCAATGAAGTTGTAAACAAAATTCACAAGTTTGACGAAGGAATTCCTTCAATTTGAAAAACTCAATTGCTGAAAATTTTCATTTTATGGACTTACTGCTTTTATTAATAAACTGCCGTTTAGGCGAATAAAGTGTCTAAATTATGGTTATTAGAAGCCAGCCTTGCTAATTATTCATTCACCTGTTCAACTTAGTGTACATTGTGCGACTGCAGCGTGTCCACACGATTTAACTTCGGCACAAGGGAAATTCATTATAAAGTGCATATGATAGTTGAAATTCAGTTGTTAGTGTTGTAAAAGTTGGGAAGCTCCAGTGTAAAGTTTCTCAAACTTTTATCGAGATATTCTCGTTAAAGTTTATAACTTCTCTAGTAGACTAACATGGGCGAAATGACACATTTTCAAAGGTTGTGCAAATAATTTGCACCAAAAAAATTAGTTTCAGAAATGATAAATCATTTGCACGATTACGAATCAATACTATGAATCTTCTTATTTGAACTTACTTAAGTTCTTGAAACTTTTTTGACTTGTTGGCTGCGTGTTTGCAAGATTTTCAATCTTCTGCAATAGTTGATTTTTTAGACTAACTATCATTATTAGTCTTGTTAAATTCAAGTAAATTTTATTTTTAATGCATGTTTCATGAAGAGTTAGTGAAATAAGACAGTTTATAAGAAATTGAAATGAAATTCATTGATATTAAAATAAGAGTTGATTCTACACCGTCAAAGCATCAACACACTGTGAATTCACAAAAACAGTCACAATTATGACTGAATGTAGAGACCTTTTCATTAGAGATATCAATTTATAAGTGTGTTCATTTGGTTTTCACAAGTCCTCACAAGGTATCAAGAAAGTAGAAAGACTGGGAAAATCTTTGAGGAAACAATGTTTCATGAAATCAAAACCTTGACTGATTTTTCCCCACTCAGTTGATAACTGAGGCCAATCTGATGAAATCTTCTGGTGATTATCTTTGAAATAAAACTTGATAGATCGTCCATGTAGTTTATTATAATCTTGAATATAATCAGCAGCCTCCCGAGTGACTTTTGGAGATCCACGAACATCGAGTAACACTAAATTGGGTAAAATACCCACCAAATGCTTGACATGTGCATTTTCCAAGGGATAGCATTTTCTCATTGCAAGATGTTTAAGATTTGGACATTTCAAGAACAAACTGATTAATCCAAATTTCAATTGATACCACTCATCGAACCCGGAATCCTGAACATATATAGATTAAATATATTAAATGTAAATGTATTAGCCAATAGATGAATTTAGATAATTTTGTTATGATGAACCTCTTTTTGTTTTTGATTTGAAAAGAAATGTCAAAAACATTTCGAAAATAAACAAATTCATTTATAATTGAATAAGACTTACAAAATGTAAAACTAAATCCTGCAAAGATTTGTGTTTTACTGATTCGTCGACAAGTGTCACATCAGAGTCCACTTTAAAATGTGCACTTTGTAAATTGGGACAATAATCGATAAAATTGAAGCCATAATAAACGTCTGGACCGACCACACCATCAACATCATCCAAAGAAGATAAGGCCAATTCAATTATTTTAAGTCTTCTAAATATGGGACCATCGTAGATGCAGTTTTGGCCTGAGGATAAAAGATGAATATTCGTTATCCAAATGTTTACAAAAATTATTCAAAAGTCACCTCCATCATCATGAATGTATAGTCTTTCAAGATTTGGAAAATAATGTGCATCTTCCTTGAAACTCTCGAGAGTACCCAAAAGGTGCAATTGTTTAATATTTACACCATTCTTTTTTATCCACGGCTCAATGTAATCAGTTGACACCATTTCGAGTTGATCACAATATTGGAATATTGATTCATTTCCTTGATAGAATTGATGAATCAATCCTTTGCAAGATTTTATATTTTTGACCAATGAAACAATTTCTTCATGTTTTACTTTTTTATGGAATCCATGAGAGAATTCGCCAATCTAACAAAATCAAGCACAAAATAACATGACAAAATGAATATTCAGCAAAAAACAAAAATCATCCAACAAACCATTAAATTAGGAAATAATGTGCTCAAACAAGTTCCATCCATTGGTTCCTTTGTTCGATAATAAACATAATCGAATGGATAATTTGGAGATGATCCATTGTTCCACCAATAAGTATGTTCTGAAAGTATAAATTGCTCAAATGAGGAAATCATTCATTCACAATGAGAAGAATTGATATTGATTTGCTTCTTACCAACCAAATATTTAACTTTTCTGGTTCGCTCCGCAATTAAATGGCTCCATTTGCTGCATACTGCGTAGAAATTTTACATTGATTTACTAAATTTCCTGTTTGATTTGTTTGATGATGATATAACTGCCTTCACTATCAAAATATTTGTAAAACTATGTAAATTTTTTTGGTTGAACTTACCCTTATAGCAATTTAATAAATCGTCCAATTCATTTATTGAACTGAAAATGATGAGCAAACAATCGTCTGGAAGTTGATTGATAAACATCGTAAGATCGACTAATGCTTAAGCCTGAAGATTCACAGCTTGCAGATGATCCGATCTAAAGATGTGATTGATTCCAACAAAATTATAAACTTCGGTAGCATAAACATATATTAATAATTAAGAAAAATAAAGCAAATTAGTGATAAAACACATTAACAGCAATGACATTTGTTTGCATAAAATTTCAAGTATGGAGCAAATTTTGAAGGAGAGAGGCAAAGAGTAACAATAGAATTTACTATCCACGAAATCTGTAAAGTTATAGCGTAAAGAAATTTCACACAAGGAAAAGATACAATCCTTTAAATCACAGAAAAGCGTGGATTATGTAACTCATTGGGTTTGATTCCAGTTTAATCGAATCCTATTCCAGACATTTTGAAATCAATGTGACACGTTTCGATTTTGAATCAACACATCTTAAATTTGCAAATGTGCTCTTTTTGGTTCTCTGATCTCGAATGATTTCGGGTAATTCAATACATATTCTTATTAAAAGTTGATGAATATCATAATAAATCATGATGAGTAAAATTTCGAATATCATGTGCAAAATGGCAAATTTCCAAGTTGGTCAAAATAATTTTGCAAAATAAATGTTTCTATGAGTTTCATTAGGCATGAAACACCATTTTCATGCTTAAGAATCAATTCCATAGACGTCAAATATCTTTTTATTTCAATTTTAAATATGTAGTGACTAGTGTTTTAAAGACTTTTTTGACCTGGCAAAATGTTTAATAGTGACTTTTGCGGTACCTTAAGACATTTTAAGAATCAGATATAAAATCCTGTCATACATTGTAGACTCTTTATTGAGAAACCAATGAATACAATGTGTGTGTGAATTTGGTTATTTAGTCCTCATCAGAAATTAAAAAAATAGAAAGGCTATGAAAATGTTTGAGAAAACAATGTTTCATGAAATCAAAGCCTTGACTGATTTTTCCACACCTAGTGGATAAATGAGGCCAATCTGATTGAATTTCATGGTGATTTTCATCGAAATAAAGCTTGATTGATCGTCCATATAGCTTATTAAAATCTTGAACATAATCAGCAGCCTTCTGAGTGACCCCCGGACAACAACGAACTTCGAATAACACTAAATTGGGCAATATGCGGACCATTTGTTCGACATGTTCATTTTCCAGGTCCTTGAAGCTACACATTGCAAGATGCTTAAGATTTGTATATTTCATAAACAATCTTTTCCAATCATTCCAGTTGAAACTTTCATTATGACCAGGATGAAACTGTTGCACAAAAAGATAAGTTAATTGCTGTGCAACTTTTTTCGTCTCTCAATGAGTTCGATTTTGGAAATAATATCAAGATTATTTCCCAAAGAAGCAGATAAATTTCAAATAAAATAATACTTACAAATTCAATAACTAAATCTTGCAAAGATTTATGTTTTAATGATTCATCAACAAAAATATGATTATATTGTAAGTAAATGTGTGCACTTTGAAGATTTGGACATGAATCCATGAATTGGAAACCATAATAAATGTCATCAGGACAATAAGAAGATAAGAACAGTTCAAGAATTTTAAGTTTTCTCAATATCGGACCATCGTAGTAGCCATCTGGCCAGTCTGAGCATAAAAAATGCATAAATGATCAAAAATTTGTTCAAAATATGAAAATTAAATATAATAGTATTTAAAACTTACTTTCATTGAAATAAATATGTAGTCTTTCAAGATTTGGGAAAAAGTGAGCATCTTGCTGGAAATAATATAGTTGATAGCCCGAAATATGCAATTGTTTAATATTAACACCATTCTTTTGTATGCATGGCTCCATGAAATCGGTGGATACCATTTCGAGTTGATCACAATATTGAAAAATTGATTCTTCGTCGCTATGAACTTGATGAATTAATCCTTTAAAAGATTTTATATTTTTAACCAATGTAACAAGATCTTGAAATTTCACTTTTTCACGCAATCCGGAAAAGTCAGCAATCTAAGATAATGCGACGAAAAAACTAAATGATCATTCAGTAGACAATAAAAGGTCCAATGATTAAACAAACCATTAGATTTGGAAATAATGTGCTCAGACAGTCTCCATCAATTGGTTTCTCTGTTCGATAATAAACATGGTCAAAAGTATAACTTGGAAATGGTTCATTATTCCACCAATCTCGATGTTCTGAAAATATAAATTGTTTAAATTAAGAGGTTCATTCATAATGGCAATAAGTATAGATGAAAATTCTTACCAACCAAGTATTTAACTTTTTTAGCTCGCTCCGCTATTAAATGGCTCCATTTGATGCAAACTGTAAGGAAAATTAAACTTGAGTTACTGAATTTTCTGTTTGACTTACTCAATGATTTTACAGTAACATTTGGGAAAGTATACAAATATGCTGTAATAGTCGAATAATAATATTAATCAAATTAATCTAGATTGTGATAAGGTTTTAAATTGAACAAGATCCGAATCTCTGATTCTGTGGTATGATTTACTGGTAAACGCCTTACATTTTGATGCAAAAGCAAAATTGAATCAGCATGAATCGTTTTTGATAGACATTCTGAACTTTTAAAGCTGGCTGCTGCTACAGCTGTAAATCGAAATTTTGTTTAAAAAAACATTGATCCACTTATCATTGTATTTTGGCTATACTGCAAAGATAAAAAGCTATGCGTTGTAATATTCTGTGGTTTCTTATTTTTTCATGTAACAGAAGAAGAACAAGACTTGTTTGAAACAGACTTACCCTTATAGCAGTTTAATAAATCATCTAATTCATCCATTAAACCAAAAATGATGAGCAAACAATCGTCTGGAAGTTCATTGATAAACATTATAAAATCAACTAATGCTTAAGCCTAACAAATTCACTTTTCAATGCAGATGATCGGCTCTAGAGATGTGTTTGATTTCAGCAATTATGAACTATAGCAGAAGTTAAATATGTCCAAACATATAATCGAGGAAAATTAATATATTATTGTTAAATTAGTTATAAAACACATTAACAGTAATGACACCTTTTTCAATAATATTTAAGGTTACGAACGAATTTTTAGTGTGAGATTTAGCTCAGCTAAATAGCAAGAAATGAGATCGGATCATGGATTCGATATTGATCTACCAAATTATCTTATTGAGATGCAATCAATAAGGAATGCAGAAAAAAAACTGAATATCGTGTAGTTTACCGATTTAATTAGGAAAATTGCATGAAAAAGTGACCTTTGTCAATTTTAGAATTCTGAATGGCTAACATTCAATTGTTAATACAACTAATAGTAAGTTTACAGTACATCTATCTATGGCGAGAAAGTTTCTCTTTAACTTTAAAGTTTGATTTATTGGTAAGAGAAGTGAATTGATTTTCAACGGTGCCCTGTAAACTCGCTACATTGAGGCTTAAAACAAACAGAAAGTCAAACCCTTATAAAACTATAAAAAAGATTGGCTTGCACTATTAACAACAATTGTAAGAAAGTATTGTTATGCGATTTAACATGTCATAGCTTTTTTGCTGACTTTTTTGACTGCCCTTAGCTTGAAACAGAAGTATCTTGTACGACATATCCATTTCTTTTAGTGAATCAGTAAAAGTGCGATACTGTACCTCTTTTCGAATCAATCAACATGATACATGTAAATATCTATTATCAATGATTTGTTCAAAATATGACAAATGAAAGTATAATAGCATTTAAAACCCACTTTCATTCATTAAGAGGGGCTTGTGTCATGACGGATATGATCGGTTAATTCGAACGGGTTTTGAGAAAAGAAGCAAATTATACAAACTTGTGCTCGATGCAAACGTCACAAACAGATCGGAAGCTATCCAGTGGCATATCATTCGATTGAAGATTTACTTTGATCCTTCCAACTTTTCTAAATATTTTTCACGTCTTTTTTCCCTTAACCCATTAAACTAACCTCTCACAGGTAAACCATTTCAATGTAACATCTATTCTTATGTAAAATGCATGTTTAAGTATAGCAAACTTTGAGGCTTGCTTGTAAGTGAAGACTCAATGTAAAAATAAAAATAAAATGATGCAAAGTGGAAGGACGATTAAACATGGGCCAATCAGTTCTCACGAACAGTTGCAGACTCTTTATTGAGAAATTTCTGTATTTAGTCTTCATTCGGGATTAAGAAAGTAGGAAGGCTACGAAAACTTTTGAGAAAACAATGTTTCATGAAATCAAAACCTAGACCGATTTTAGCATACTTAGTGAATAACTGAGGCCAATCTAATTGAATTTCATGGTAATTCTCATGAAATAAAACTTGATTGATCGTCCACGTCGTTTATTATAATTTTGAATGCAATTAGCAGCCTTTCGAGTGAATCCCGGACAACTACGAACAGCAAATAACACCAAATTGGGTAGAATACGAACCAATTGCTCCATATGTTCATTTTCCAGATCCTTGAAGCTCCTCAGTGCGAGATGTTTAAGATTTGGATATTTCATGAGCAATCTTTTCAAGTCATTCCAGTCGACACCTTTCTTCCAATAAGGATCATACTTTGCATACAAAAAATTAAGCAAATGAACAATTTAAATAGAATAATACTTACAAATTCTAGAACTAGATCTTGCAGGGATTTGTGTTTTATTGATTCATCGACAAAAAAGCGATGCGTGTTCAAGTAAATATGTGCACTTTGTAAATTAGGACATGAATCCATGAACTGGAAACCATAGAAGTCTTCTTGCCCATCATAAGAAGGCAAAGACAATTCAACTTTTTTAAGTCTTCTCAATATGGGACCATGGTAGTAGCCCTCTGAGTGGTCTGAGGATAAAGGCGAATATCAAAAATGTAATAAATGAAAAATAAAATTTTAATAAAATTTTTGGAAAATTACCTGCATCAAGACGAATGTGTAGTCTTTCAAGATTTGGAAAATAGTGTGCATCTTTCACGAAATGAATCGCCTCATAACTTTCAATGTGTAATTGTTTAATATTGACACCTATCTTTTGTATGTATGGCTCCATAAAATCGGTGGATACCATTTCGAGTTGATCACAATATTGGAAAATTGATTCATATCTGTCATAAAATCGATGAATCAATCCTTTAAAAGATTTTATCTGTTTCACCAATGTAACCATATCTTCATGTTTTACTTTTAAACGGAATCCTACACCAAACTCACCAATCTAAGGTAATAAGATATAAATGAATGTTCAGAAAACAAGAAAAGTTTAACTATTCAACTTTCTATTAAATTTGGAAATAATGTTGCCAGACAAGATCCATCGATTGGTTCCTTTGTTCGATAATACACAAAATCAAACGAATAATTTGGAGATTTTCCATCATTGTACCAATTTCGATGTTCTGAAAGTATAAATTGAATGAATGAGCAAAATTATTCAATGAAAATTAGTATTGATATTAATCTGAGTCTTACCGAGCAAATATTTAACTTTTTTAGCTCGCTCTGCAATCAAACGGCTCCATTTGCTGCATACTGTAAGGAAATTTTACGTTAAATTACTAAATTCTTTGTTTATTTACTAGATCATCATTGTATTATGTGTGGTTTCTGTTTCGTTTTTTAATACAAAGAACATGATTTTTCAAAGAAACTTACCTTTATAATAGTTTAATAAGTCATCCAATTCATTTATTGAATCAAAAATGATGAGCAAACAATCGTCTGGAAGTTCATTGATAAACATTTTGAAATAAACTCGCGTTCAAGCCAATTCAAGTCCAATCTAGAGATGTGATTGATTTCAACACACCAACAGTAATGATACATGTAATAATTGTACATGTATTTAAAAAGTAGTGTTTCTTTGGCAAAATTGAATCGACGATTATGATCGATGTTTTCCCTGATTAATCAAAAATTGAAAACTGACTTACCTCATGTTTCTGGTCCACTTTGCGTTTATATTTTCTTCTTCTTAAACAAGTCAATATTTTTACATATTTTTCAAGTTTATTAAAACTTCATTATGGGTAAAACACCCTAGCAAATATTGATACGTTATGTTTATGATAATTGAACTTCTGATTAAATGTATAAGAGGGCGCTTCTAAGCTGGTTTAAAGTATTGCCGGGATGATTGAATGACCATCAAAGTAAAAAAATTGGTTTTTAACGAGATGTAGCCTGAAAAATTTAAACCCAGATGCGACTTTCGATCGCGATTGTAGCCAAACCAGTCGTTAGATTTTGCCTGTTTTAATTTTGCACATAGTTTTCCAATACGCTCTATCAGAAAATCAACATAAAACAATTTTGACGGATATGAATTTAGGCTGCCTTTGGTGAAATTGATGAACATATAATACATTTATTTATAAAGCAGACTCTCGATTGATGCTGGCCAAGTTCAATGATCAAATGAAACCTTTATACATGTATATGTTACTTAAGGAAGTCGAAGACATCAAGATACCTGCCGATCTCCTTGAACCTGATCCTATTGAAGTCAATGGCTCTACAATAAAAGTTACAGGGTTTGAAGGTATGGATAAATGGAAGACTAAAGACAAATCCCAGAAGCAACAGATTTGATTTTGGTTTCATTGTCTCTGTTGCTGCATAATTATCTTGATCAATATCACCGCATTTCGTGATTGTAGTTAAGCTTACAAGTTGTTAGTTTTCTCGTTACCTCGTTATTGTGCTCGTAAGATGACGAACGATCATTTTTGTTAAATCATATTTATGCAGTTGAGTCTGAGAAATTTTTTAGCTACATTCATGATCATTTATACGGTGATAGAATCGTCTTTTTTGAATTTGTACAAGGAATTAAGGCTTTCATAAGAATATTTTGCAACTTTATGATCAACATCAAGAACAATGATAAATTTTACATTCATATTAGTGATCAGCGTTATTCCAATATGTTCACAAGTTCATCGAGAAAAGCAAGAAAAAGTTTCTACAACGGGCAACCTATTCTTGCGTTGAGATGGGTCTTTGTCTCGACGCACTTGATCAGGCAGTTGAAACGGTTCTTGCGAAAATACTTTATAAAACTTGTGCTCAATGCAAACGTTACGAACAAGTTGAAATTTATCCAATAGTATATCATCCGGTTGCTTTCGTTAGCATTAAAGATTTAATTTATCTATTTGTTCTTCTCGTGAGTCTTTCAAGTTTGGCTCTAATAATCGAGTTAAATGGTAATCAGAATAATATCAGTTGAATCAAGACATTTTTGTCGAGAAAGCTATCGATTGGTTAGCCAATATATTACATGAAGTAGCGATGCTTTTCAATAATGCAATATTCAAAACTCAAATAATGCTCAAACTCAAACTGATCCACTCATCTGATCGTGATAAACCAGCCAAAGGAAAGAAACCATTTCTTCATTACTCTTCTAATGGTAGTTGGCATAATATCGCGAAGTCAAGACGTTTTTGTTGAGGAACGGTTATCCAATATATTACTTGATCTAGCGATACTTTTCAATATTGCCGTATTCAAATCTCACTTACTTTTTGAATGATTAAGAATAATTCAATTGCCCACTGAAAAAATTTGATAATTTATGAGTAGGAATGCAACTTTTTTAGTGATTAAGCGATCGGGATTGAGATGAATTCAATTTGCAATGAACAATGTGCCCTTCAGTTTTGTTTAAATTCACAGCTTAATTTCAGCAGAAACTTTGTATTTCTCATATATTACAGTCTTTTGAATTGAACTAAGTGAGCCACATGATTCGTCATTAAAGTTGAACAACCAGATTGATAGAGATCGAAAATTTTCACAGTTCCTCTTCTAAGTTTTACAATTTCATCAATTTTAACCATCAAACGATAAAGAGTGTCTGAAACTTCACAGTCGGAACCAAAGTAAGCGGCCAGGTACCGATTAAGCAGATAAATGTAAGTGTATCGCTCGAGCCTGTAAATAAGAAGTAAAATTTGAGTTTTTTTTTGTAAAAAAATTAATCAAATAAATGTAACCAAATTGTCAGTTGATACGAGTACATAAAAATTGTTCTGACATTTCAGAGTTACAATAAATCGGTTAATATTTACAGTACAAGATAATGACACCGCCTTGAAATGCTTATTCATGCTATTAGACAAGCAACTTATCTCCAACATTTTCAACTGTAATTCCAAACTGTGCACTCAACAGTTTTAGGTACTCGACTTTATTCACTTAATTATGGTTCCTTACATTAACTTACCTTACTGTGTTTCGAAACTTTAATTTAACCAAATCAGGATTAAAAAGGACAATTGTATAAAGTAAAGCGATAGCGTTGAGATCATTTCGAAGCAAATTAGGAAAGGTTTCAATGATATGATCCAATCTTCTGATTTGCGTTGGATTTACTTTGTAAAACCATTTTCTTGACCAAACTTTCCCTCCATACTTTTGCGGGTAACCCAATGAGATGATCAGGCATTTTAAATAAAACAATGTCATTAGATTGGTTTGTAAAAGTGAAATAGCAGACAAAAGACAATATCAATGAGTCAAATGAATGGGATTTGATTCACATACAATCTTATTAGCGAATCATATCATTGATTTAGTCTATTATACGATAAAATAAACTTCAACTTACAAACCAACCATCGACTTCTGGATCAAAGACGATTACTCCTTTTAATGCATTGAAGTCAAGAAACGCACTTTTAATAAGTGTCACTTTGTCATCGGTGGGTAGTTTCCTAAAAGCGCGTATCTTTTCACAAGTAGAAACAAGCTCAGGTGGAGTCGGGTCAGAGAAAAAATGACTTTCTATGAAACCAATATCATTTTGAGGATTGACGAAGGCTGTTGTCTTGAAAGCTTGAGCTACTTCTTGAACCGCTACAGACTCAAATGCATCCAACATTGTCTGATTTGAGATGAATTCTGATTTTAAACTCAATGGTGAAAAATGTACAGATAAAATTTGCTTAGCAACATGAGATATCCATGGTTCTTTCACTTTTGTAATGTCATCAGCCAGTGTGAGTTTACTCTTGAATTCAGGACAGTCTATTATTACATGACGATAGTCTGGATTAAAATTTGACAAATGTTTCAACTGCGTTGATGGTGAATAACGAGATGAGTTTCGTGGCGAGTTAAAATGTATATTACAAGGTGAGTTACAGCTTGGATTACAACATATGTTACAACATGAATTACTAGATGAACTTTGAAAGGTTGAAGACGAAGCTTGGATTGACAATGGACCAGTTACATCGGTATCATGGGTTGAAGAAAAATAAGCATCAATAGCTTGGGAAAATATCTGGCCCACATCCAATGCTTTACCAACCTCTTTATCTAAATAATTTTCAACATAATTTGGATCAAGATTGGGCAACGACTGTAATGACATTAAAGGTGATAACAATGACGGCTCGTCGATTCCAGTATAAAAGGTAACATCTGTATTTTGTTCCAGATTCGATAAACACCCATCAATATCCATAATTGATCAGAGAACCATTCGATTCACAGTGATTCACCTATGAGTTGAAAATGATAACCTTGAATTATTTTTCCCTATTTTCAAGTTTCAATTATGGACTAGTGTATTGTTGATGCTGCTTATTGCTGAAACATGTGAAAAAATCAAAGAGTAAAGAAAGAGTTTCTTTACTCTTTGCTATTATACGGAAAAAAATCGGATTTTTATTAATCGCAGTCTCTTCTTCTTCTTTACTTTTTAAAAAAATACTAAAAATGATTACGTATAAAAAATCATGAAGAAGTGGGTGTTATGGAAAAAGATAACATTGAATAAACTCCACAAGTTGTCACATTTTATTAGCTTTTGGGTTACCTTACTTTTGTTTTGCTTTATTTTGATTGACTTCATTGTAACTTTTGTAATATCCTCATTTTATCAATTGTTTCTGTTGATGAATTACTCAACAGCTGGAAGATTAGATAAAACATTACTATTATTAGGATATTATCAGGATACCATCAGGATATTATTCAAGATTCTTGCATCATTATCAGTAGCAGCGAAACCATGAAACAAATCAACTATGTAACCATCTGGAACTACACACAGCATTGGTTTCGTCAAAGGCCTCTTTTCTGCATAGAGTATTGGAATATGAGTATATACAATGGAAATTGCAATCTATCATTCAATTGAGTATCAGTCTTTTACTACCAATCGCTCATTGCTCTTCTCAGCTTAGTGTTCAATAACTGAAGTATTATTTAACAATGAAATTGAATATTCCCTTCAACTTTTGACCATTCATTTGATAATAGAAAAATCTTTTTTGGTTCAGTAAATACAATTAAGGGACACATGCGAATATTTTTCAACTTTATGATCAACGTCAAGAAAACTGACAACTTTTATATTCATGTTAGTTACCAACGTTATTTCAATGCTATACGTTACTGGTTTATCACAAGTTCATGTGTAGCTGTAACTTGTCAAAAAAAATAACAAAAGTCTTATAATTTATCCACATAGGTAATGTACCATAAGAAATATTTTACCAACTTACCTTGTAAAATAAGTTTCCCTGTGCGATAAAAGTCAAGGCTCAATGAAGTACATTTTTTGAGGTGAAAACATTCATTTTAATCCAAACAGATGCTGGTGTGAAGGTGATTCGATGTTGATTATTGGAAAAGAAATGTTGATGATGATTAAAAAGATTTTGATTTTTGGGTCTACCTTTTTAGTTCTCTGTTTAACTGTTGATGATTTAAATTTAAAAAATAATGATGATTGGTGAGAGTTGAAGTGACTATTCAATGGCTAAAAACGGAATCAGATCCTAGAGTCGGTTCTTGTCTATTGCATAAACTGTGAATAAACGTGTTTTAGTGTTAAGAATTAAAAACCAATACAAAACTGTTGTTGGATTGTTGAGTCAATTTAACAACAAAATCTTATTGAAATAGTAAATTCAACACTTTTAAGATCAAACTTTAAAACTCTCTGGTTAATTTAATGAAGTGCTAACTCACCTGGCTCTGATCGGTTCGCCCTTGTTTCATCAATTTTGAATCTTTTAATCAAATTTGAGATAAATAACTAGATGGAAGGGCTAAAGGGTAGCACTTGGAAGATACAAAAGAATCATTAAGATGAAATGGAATTGCTCGGTGAAGATTATTAAACAAAATGAACCTAAAGATATCTCACTGAATAGAGCAGAATTAAACAGAACAAAGAATCTAGGATTTGAACATGTGCCTTGCGAAATCTTGATTCCAGTTCCTTAAGTTATGCTTTCCTTTCAACACAACTTTGTTTGCTTTAAAGCTTAAGGTAAGAATTCCCGATGCATTCAATCCATATTTCCATTTTAATGTAATCTTTTTTGCATTTTACCAAAACTATTATAATAATCTATGCAACGAAATTCTTTGGTCAACTCGACCAAGACAGTTAAAGGTAGAGTACACAAATTTGGTAGCATTGAAAAGCTACAGATTAGAACTTTAAGCTGATAATATTTAATCTGTGCTCCGAGATCAAATTCACGCTCAGTTAGCTTTACAAAGTTTTAGAGTTTATTTTATCGTGATGCTATGAAAAATGAATTCGTGTTTGTTCACAAGATTAAATTTCGTTATATCGTATTTTCATCAATGAAATCATATTTTATTTCAAGAATGTTATTGGATAATCGTATAGAGCCAAGAAATATAGCGAGTGAATCGAAAGGTTTTGATTTCCTTTCATTTTTTGCCAATTCCTATTGAGCCATATATAGACATTGTATTGCAGAGAGCTATTGATGAAAAGTGTCTGTTCAACTATGCAATGACTTACCTTGCTAATAACGATACTCACACTGATGTTTCAGATTCCAAATGTTTGAGCATAATTAATACAGTAGTAGTCATCATATGTAATCATGTTTGTGAGGAAGTCAACATATTTTGATTTTAAGCAATAACTAATGGGAAATCAGAGTTTTGATTTGATAGATGAGCATGGAATTCAATTAAAATTAAGTGGTTCAGTGATCTTTTTCCTTTTAATGAATTTGACAATTGAAAAACTATAGCTGACTAACAATTAAGTCATTTGTCCTAATTTTTATTAGATTTTGAGTTATGATTAAGATAAAAATAGTCAAATGTGTGCATTTGGTTATTTAGTCTTCATCAGAAATTAAAAAAGTAGAAAGGCTATGAAAATGTTTGAGAAAACAATGTTTCATGAAATCGAAACCTTCACTTATTTTTACATATTTAGTTAATAACTGAGGAAAATCTGATCGGATTTCATTGTAATTCTCATCAAAATAAAACTTGATTGATCGTCCATATAGTTTATTATAATCTTGAATATAATCAGCAGCCTTTTGAGTAACTCTTCTACATTCACGAACAGCAAATAGCACCAAATTGGGTAAAATGCGAACCAATTGCTCAACATGGTCATCATCCAAGCTCTTGTTGCCCACCAGTGAAAGATGTTTAAGATTTGGATATTTCATGAACAATCGTTTGAATTCATCCCAGTTGACACTATCAGCATAATCAGGATCATACTATGCATGTACAGATTAGTTAATTAATTTGTATTACAGTGAAATACCAGATAATGACAATAAATTTGTCAATGGTCCCGAATCAAGGAGGGGTCAAATCATAATAAATCAAATATTATTAATGCACTGCCCGGCGAATAGTACAAATAAGCTATTTCAATTTACTGTTATTTTCTGGTATTTCACTGTAATATATAAAATGAAACCCTCTTATTGATTTGAAATGATTAATTAATTTTTGAATATTCTTGAATTTCATTCCAAATCAAATCAATACTTACCCATTCTATAACTAAATCTCGCAAAGGTTCGTGTTTTATTGATTCAAAAAAAATATTAATACGATCGGCATCCAGATTTATGTGTGCACTTTGTAAGTTTGGACATGAATCCATGAACTGGAAACCATAATAAATGTCTGTACTATGGTAAGAAGATAATGCCAATTCAACTATTTTAAGTTTTCTCAATATGGGACCATCGTAAAGAACATCTGGCCTGCCTGAGGATGAAAGATGAATGCCCATTTTCAAATGTCTTCAAAATATAAAAGTTTTAAATATTACCTGCATTATTATAAATAGATAGTCTTTCAAGATTTGGGAAATAATGAGCATCTCTTTTGAATAGATCTAGAGTATAACTCCAAAGGTGCAGTTGTTTAATATTTACACCACTCTTTTCCATGCATGGCTCAATGTAATCAGAGGATACCATTTCGAGTTGATCACAGTGCTGGAGAATTGGGTAATCTGTGTCATAAAATTCACGAATCAATCCTTTTAAAGATTTCATCTGTTTGACCAATGTGACAATATCTTCATATTTTACTTTTTTACGGAATCCATAAGAAAAGTCGCCAATCTAAGGTATCAAGATATATATTATAAATGCATGTTCAGCAAACAATGAAAGTTTAATTATTCAACTAACGTTTAAATTAGGAAATAATGTGCTCAAGCAAGTTGCATCAATTGGTTCCTCTGATCGGTAGTAAACATAATCAAGCGTACAACTAGGAAATTTTTCATCATTTGGCCAGTTACCATCATTTCCTGCAAATACAAATTGCTTGAATCAGGGATTTCATGATTGAAATAAGTATTGATAAGGGGTGATAAATTAAAAATGAGACAAAATTTAAACTCTAATATTTAAGAAATTATTAGGTTTAATTCATCTTTAGTTTTAATTTGATTATTGAGAATCATTAATTACTATATTAGGGTTGAGGTTCCATTAGGCCAAACTAGCTCACAAATTTAACCTCAGTCCTATTTATTAAAAGTTTAAAGAGCGCGGTGTAAATTTCATGCCATGAAATAAAAATGGCAACAGCTTTCAATACTTTTAATTAACGAATTAATTTAAGTTTAATATTTTTATTGGGTGCAAATAAAAGAAAATAATATTTGCAATAGTGTGAGTGAGTTTCATTTCTATTGAATTTTACTTATTTTTATAACTTCGAAGACTTAAAAGATCAAAAACTTGAAAAAAAAGATTTTTAACTGCACAAAAGGTCACTCTTTCAGATTTAAAATTCAATCGAAATTAATGAAAGTTACTCAAATTATTGTGAATACCATTCTCTTTTAATCGCACCCAATAACAACATTATGCTCAATTCAAATCTATTTGTTAGTTAAAAGGATTTACAGTTTCTTTCACCTTCTTCATGCTAATCAAATGGTAAAAGTCTAAACGACAAAATTTTTTGCGCTATCTTCGAGCGTAGACTAAATGAGGCTGAAATGGAATTTTCGGATCGAGCTGCTCATGGACCTTTTCGATTCTTAATAATATAATTAAAACTAAATTTGATAAAATAAAACTAACTATTATCTAATCATTGGAGTTTGAATTTATCACCCTTTAGTAATTTGAGTCTTACCAACCAGATATTTAACTTTTCTAGTTCGCTCTTCAATTAAATGGTGCCATTTGCTGCATACTGTAATTAAATTTTTTCATAAAATTAATAAATTTTCTGATGATTATGTAATTGGGTTCACTCTGAACACGAAATAATTGACAATTTGCAAATATTACGCTTAATTAGAGTCGAATGATAATATCGATATAATCTAGAATCTAGATTTTAGATTAAGATACTACAGCACTGAGATTAATCGTTGTAGTTTAATACTTTAACTTAAATCATATAATACATTTAATGTAGTACCTGATCTAGGAGTGTAACTTATTTTTTGTATAAAACAAAATTACCTTTATAGCAGTTTAACAAATCATCCAAGTCATTCATCAATCTAAAAATGATGAGCAAACATTCGTCTGGAAGTTGATTGAGAAACATCGTAAGATCGACTAGTGCTTAAGCCTGAAGATTCACAGCTTGCAGATGATCCGATCTAGAGATGTGATTGATTCCAAGCAACAAAATTTTGTAGTAATTAACTATAATAACAAACATCGCATTAGGAAAATAAAATTATATAAGTGATAAACACAAAACAGCAATTACACTTGTTTAAATTACCATTACTACTACCAACACATTTTGAGGGGAGATCAACCAAAGACTTGGACATAGCGTTGGGTTATGATCAATCGTAAATCGATTTAAATCGACAATCGGCTCCTCTGTTTCAGATCGATCAAGAAAATGAAGAGATCGATTTAACCAGGAAAGGCTACTTTAGAATCCTTTGATTAATCAAACGGCAATAGTTTTTTAATTTTTTGATTTCGACGATTTAAAGATCAGAAGATCTAACCTTTTCTGAAATCACACAATCTAGCATTGAAATATCTAACTATGCAAGCCCCTTCACTACCGTGTGAACGCTTATTTTCAAAAATTGGATTATTAATCACTGAGCAACGGAACGGATTGAAGCCTAAAAATGTTGAATTGCTATCTTTTCTTGACTCATTGCCTGATATTTACATTTAAACTCGTCTTTTCTTGTATTTTGTCAATTTAATAAACTTACGATCGGACAACCGAACGATCGAACAGTCGATGAAATCGATAAAATCGATGAAATCGACAAAATCGATTTATCTTTTTTCTATGACTAAGAAAATCGATCAGACTTGAATTGCTTGATCGGCCAACACTACTTGGACAACAATAGACTCTATTGAATAGAGATGACGATCTGGAAAAATGTAATGTTGAAATTTTGAAGTTGAGTTTTTCCTGCTCAATATTAGATGGCGCTGATAGTAAAAAGCGCCATCTTTTGTATCAAAAATAACTCGAATGATTAATTCATCGAACGAATGTCAAAGCAAATTATCCTTATACTCAATGAAACCAAAAAATTACTAAATCTTTTTCGTAACAATTACAGGATTTCAAACATTATGGACATTACACAACCTGAAAAATCAAATTCAGGAGATTAGGAGAACAATAATAGAAAATCAAGAAATCAATGATACTGACCTAAATAATTATTACATTCATCCACCAATAAATATTGAGCCTATCCGATAGAAGACCTATTCTTTTGGCACAGAAGAAACAAGACCAAAAATAGACATTTCTGATACACAGTTTGAAAGATTCTCCACCTCTCTCAGACTGTAAATCATACTCACTTCTTATATTTACATCTGAATTTATTGAGCCGATCAAAATCGAATCAAAAGTTATCGATAAAAACGATAAAACTTTTTTACACATTTGATAGCTATGACGATTTACAATTGTTAATATTACCGCTAGACCACTAAAAATGGTAAAAATTTAATGAAAACAATTCTTTATCCTTACATTCAGCAGTCCGATTGATAGTACAATCAAAACTCGAAATCATTATTTATGATTCAATAAGACAAATTGTATTAAAATTGTTTTATTAAAAGAGTCGATTATTTCGAAACAGTTCATTTATGAACTTTAAGACTTTATTTTTGATTATCAACAATGCAATTTCATCAATAAAACAGTTAAATCAATCGAAATTGAAATCTATCATTTAATTGAGTTTTGGCCTTTTCAATCACTCATCGCTCATTATATGACATTTTAATCAATCAGCGAGTCTAAGAGGGCTTTTGTCTTGACGCATTTGATCGCGCAATCGAAATGGTTATTGAGAAACAAAATTACATTTTATAAAATTTGTGCTCAATGGCAACGCTATTAGCAAATTGAAAGCTATTCAATGGTATATCATCCGATTGTATTCATGTTGATTGGAGATTTACGACATTTTTCTGTTCTTCTCATGCGTCTTTCAAGTTTCGTTTTAATAACTCACTCTCAAGCAACAGAAACGTAGAAACCTTAACACACTGTGCTTAATTGATTGTTATCATATGACTGTTTGTAGAGAATTTGAATTGTAATAGATTTCAAGAGTTCATTTGTTATTTAGTCCTCGCTAGAGACTAAGAAAGTAGGAAGCTCAAGATAACTTTTAAGGAAACAATGTTTCATGAAATCAAAACCTTGACTTATTTTTTCACGCTTAGTGGACAACTGAGGCCAATCTAGTCCAAGCTCATGTCGATTCTTATCAAAATAAAACTTGATTAATCGTCCATATAGTTTGCAATAATCTTCAACATAATCAGCAGACTTTTGGGTGACTCCTGGACAACCACGAATATCAAATAAAACTAAATTGGGTAAAATACGAACCAAATGCTCCACATGTCCATCTACCAGGCTATTGTGGTTCCTCAGTGCAAGATGTTTAAGATTTGGATATTTAATGAACAATCTTTTCAATTCATTCCAGGCGACACTTTCCGAATACTGTGCATATACAGATTAGATAATCAAAATAAATGAACTTGATATTTTTGTCATGATGAAGCACTCTGATTGTTTTTGATTTGGTATAAAATTCCGACAAGATTTATCAAACAAGCAAACAATACCTTCCAAATTAGATTAATACTTACAAAATGTAAAACTAAATCTTGCAAAGATTCGTGTTTTAATGATTCATCAACATGAATGTGGTTGGAGTCCAATTTAATATGAGCACTCTGTAAGTTTGGACATGAATCCATGAACTGGAAAGCATAATTAGTGTCTGTACCATCATATGATGATAATTGCATTTCAACTATTTTTAGCCTTTTGAATATGGGACCATCGTAAAGCCAATCTGGGCTGCCTGTGGATGAAAGATGAATGTCAATTTTCAAATGTCTTCAAAATATAAAAGTTTTAAATATTACCTTCATTATTAGAAATAGACAGTCTTTCAATATTCGGAAAATAATGTGCATCTTCCTTGAATCTGTTCAGAGTATAATTCCAAAGGTGCAATTGTTTAATATTACCACCAATCTTTTTCATGACTGGATCAATGTGACCGGTGGATAACATTTCGAGTGCATCACAATATTGGAAAATTGATTCATCTCTGTCATTTTGATGAATTTTAGCATACAAAGATATTATCCTTTTGAACAATGTTAGAATAACTTCATTTTTTCCTACTATACAGGTTCGATAAGGTAAATCTGTAATCTAATATATGCATATAAAGATACAAAACAAAATGAATATTTAGCAAAAAATAAAAGTTGAATCGCTCAACTAACTATTGAATTAGGAAATAATGCGCTCAAACAAGTTGCATCAATTGGTTCCTGTGGTCGATAATAAGCATAATCAAACGAATAACTTGGAGATGTTACACCATCCCACCAATCTCGACGGTCTGTAAATATTAATTATTTAAATGAGAAAATCAATTGATAATTGGAATAAGTCATGATAAAAATGTTCTTCTTACCAACCAAATATTTAACTTTTCTAGTCCGCTCTGCAATCAAATGGCTCCATTTGTTGCAAACTGTAATAAAAATTTTTACTAAATTATTTAATTTTCTGTTCATTTGCATGTTGATTATTTACCACCATGGTAATTGAATTCACTATCAACACGAAATAATTGAACATTTTGAAAAGTATGAGATTTATCGATGGGGCTTTTAACTTGTATTTGATTCAAAGATATAACTTACTTATTGGTTAAAACAAACTCACCTTTATAGCAGTTTAATAAATCATCCAGTTCCTTTATTAAGCTGAAAATGATTAACAAACAATCGTCTGGAAGTTCATTGATAAACATGTTTTTATCAATGGTTAAAACTACTTTTACTACTAAAAAAACTTTTCTGTTATCAAACAAGTCAATATTTTTGTGTATTCTTATTATTTTTTTTACGATTAAAACTATATTATGGGTTGTTTTGCGTGTAAGGTGTGTTTTAGGATTAAGTGAACTTCTGATTAAATATATAAGAGGGCGCTTCTAAGCTGAGTTAAATCATTGCCGGGATAATTAAACATCGGATATTAAACATCCTTACTGAAACTAAAGGTGCACTACTTATCGAAGTGAATGGAATGAATATAATCGAAACCATTGAGAATTTTTCACCAAAATCAACTTTTTGACTTTGAGATAAAAAAGAAGCTCCAAATGGATGTAGCTTCAAGTTTCTTTCTTCCTAGGCTATCAAGACAAAACTTTGACCATAATTGTCGAATTTTCATTAAAAATTATTCATAAAACTATTCTAATATCATTCAATTGAGTTTGGCCTCTTATCAATCGCTCATTATACGTCTTAATTCAGTGTTCAACTAAAGTATTTAAAAATAATAAATAAATACAGTTAAATCAAAATATCCCGGAATCTTGACCAGCTTTCAAATCATCCAAATCAATGTTTACATTTTAATTGGTCTCTCGGAGTTTACATTCATTTAGTCCGTAAGAAAAGTTTACATTGACCTTTCAAAGGCATAACAAAACACCTGATTGGTGGGAAATTTGGGTTCATAGTTTTGGTCATTTGTTATTTTGCCATCTACTACGTCTTCGAATTATTACGATCTTCATTTACAATAAACTATTCGATTCAATCTCAAGATGCAACTTTGATTTATTTGGGTGATCTCAATAAGTCAGCTCAATCTTTAGCTGTCGTCCATAATTTGAATTGTGCTCGTGAGAAGACGGAATATTGATTTTCGTCAAGTCATATGCATGCGGTGGAGCCTGAGAAAGCCTTTTCCAGCTATATTTATGATTTTGATTTTGGTGATTTCTGGCTCTTCATTTACGATCAATTATTCATTGTTCAATGGTGTACATTGAGAGCTGTAGTTTTGAAAACTTTTACACTAAAACTGCAGTTGCTTCAAAATATCCCGGAATCTTGACCAGTTTTCAATTAATCCAACTCAATGTTTACATTTTAATTGGTTTCTTTTTCGCCCTCGGAGTTTATATTTATTTAGTTCGTTGGCCTTGGAGAAAAGTATATATTGGCCTTTCAAGGCGATGACATTTTTTATTACTCGTCATTCTTTATTATTGGATCGCTAATGATTCTGACTCGCTGAATCGGTCTTCTTTTATACTTGACTCAAGTCTGATTCTTATGATCATTACACCTGATATCACAAGGCTTTTATCCAAAAATGACATGACAATGACTCTAATAAGGTATGACTGGTAAAGTTTGACAGTAATTTTTACAATCTTTCATGGCGGCTCAACGTCTCGACAGATTCGCACAAAATCAGACTTAATTTAACGGAAATTTTCTTGGCTTTCATTTGATATGCGTTTTAATTAGTTTTAACTCTCTATTTGTCCAGTATGGGTCTTAGTGATAGTGATAGTCCTAAATTAATATTTTTTTGTCAGCGACCGCCCAGGGTAAAGTTTATACGAATGATTAGAGCAATCGCAGCATAGTGATACCAACTCGAGGTCAGTCTAAAGGGTTGGTGTAAGGGTCGGAAATCAAAAAACTGTAATAACTTCAATAAATGTGGCCGTGAACCGACGTAGATGATGCAATAGAGTTTTGAGCGTTTTAACGACTAAAAGAAGGACTAAACGGCTATCAACGATAATTGGCGGTCGCTGACAGCAAAATTCGACATTTCCTTGGCCTATTGCCAGGAATAATTAAAAAATCTGGTATTGAGGCCTGGAAAAAAAAATCGAACACCCAAATCATGTACGCTTTACTGTCAAACTTTACCAGTCATACCTTAGCTAATAAACTAACGCGATGTACCGATGTTCATGTATAATACTTGTGTGATTGTCATTATAAGATTCTTTTGTTCTAGCTGGCAAGTTCATGAAATATGTACTTGTTTAAGTTTCATGTTAATCGACATTTTTAAGAGGACATTCCAATTTGAGAGTTTCTCGAATAAATAAATGATTATAATCATTTAAGTGAACGGGTTTGAAAGGAAAATTATATTTCAAGTTGTTGTATATAGCTTTCTTGAAGTTTAATAGAGAAAATTCAGTCCATTAATGCGATGTTTTGACTTTATATATTTTATGTATGCATTGAATAGATTTCGGCTCAAAATACTCTAGTCGGAGATCGAACTTTTCGAAAGGATAATCATTATGACAATCAATTGTTATGTGACCAACTATAAAATAAACTTATTTCATGGAACACCATTTAATGGTTCACCTTAATGCGCTTCTCATTGCAAATCGAAACAATACTTTAGACAAACTTCAGTGTTTTATTGTTTCACTGTTAAAATACTTTTGTGATTAGCATTATCAATTAGATTCTTTTGTTCCAGCAGGTAAGTTCATGAAATATGTACTTGTTTTAGTTTCATGTTTTCATTTTATATTACAAACACTCGCATTGACAGTGATTTGACATGTGTATTAACATTGGATTTGGATTCTTGTATATAAAAAGGGATTTTCTCGTAGAATTTCAAGTCATTACAGTTATCATTTCAATTGATCATCACATTTACTTTCACACCAAGATTTTAATAAAAAATGAAACCAACTTTATTATTTGCTTTAATTGCTGTTGCAATTTCAAGCTCATTTGCAGTTAAAATCAAGGGTTCATGTCCCAAACCTGAACAACCCAAAGTTGATTATTGGTACTTCAATAATGTAAGTTTAACCCAATTAAAACATCATTATTATTAATGGTACTTCATCCAATCAGTTTGTAGGAGATTGGAAAGTTATTGGTCGAAGTGAACAAACTGTCCCAAGAACTGTCTACAATACTCTTGAGATTAATCACCTTTATCCTGGAAAAGTTTCCGTTATCGAGAAAGGTTCTACCCGAGACAAGTAAGTTTCAATTGGAAGATTTATTGTCCATGAATCTAATTAATCAAACAATTAATTATAACAGTGTTGTCCAGTCACTTTGGGACAAGTATATCGAAATGACTGTTGGTGATTTCAATGGAAAATCATATTATGAGGTTGTGTCAGAGGATTATGAACCCTACTCATTCAACATCAAAACCTCAGGTAAACGATGAATTTTAGGCAAAATGCAAAGAATTATAATATTCAAAAATTTTTCAGATGGTAAACTTGGTCAAAACTTTGGATGCCTTATTATGCCAATCCTAAATATGCTGAAGCCGTCTTAGCAAGTTGTGTTAAAATTGACGATTCAACTGTTGATGGTAAGTAAATTATTTGATATAATAATTCAATCAACTCAATCATGGTTTACTATTTTCCATTTTTTCATTGATCAATTAGTCAAAGCCTGGTTCGTTTCAAAGACTAAAGCAGCTTCAGCTTCACAAGAAGTTAAGGATCTTGTTAAATCATTGACTGGACAAGAATTGATTCAAATCTGTCAAGGAAACTTCTGTTGATACGTGTTATTAAGATATCGATGCAAGATGGAATCCACAATTTAACTCGTCATCTGTTGATTGTAACTTTTCTTAAATAAGAATATTAAACAAGAACTGGTTGCACCTGTAATTCAACGCATCATTTGATTAATTATAACAATGAAAGACTCTAAAATTACTGCAGGATTAGTCAAAAAGTTTCCGAATCATATGAATATGGCAATAATCGTCTGTCAACCGCTTTCTGGACACAAGTGTATTGATTTCACTTTATTATGCCATCTACTGTAAGAAGAGTGATGAAGAAATGGTTTATTTTCTTTGGATGGTTAATTATGATTAGATGAGCTGATCAGTATTTAAAACGAAACTTGAAAGACTCATGAGAACAAAAATAGACAGAGTAAATCTTTAATCGTGTTGAATGCAATGTAATAATATGTTACTGGATAGCTTTCAATCTGTTCGTAGCGTTAGCATTGAGCACAAGTTTTATAAAATGTAATTTTTTTCTCAATAGCCATTCCAATTGTGGATTCCATCTTGCATCGATAACTTAATAACACGAATCAACAGAAGTCTCCTTGACAGATTTGAATCAATTCTTGTCCAGTCAATGATTTAACAAGATCCTTAACTTCTTGTGAAGCTGAAGCTGCTTTAGTCTTTGAAACAAACCAGGCTTTGACTAATTGATCAATGAAAAAATGAAAAATAGTAAACAATGATTGAATGTATTAATATTAATATAAGTTATGTTAAATAATTAACTTACCATCAACAGTTGAATCGTCAATTTTAACACAACTTGCTAAGACGGCTTCTTCATATTTAGGATTGTCATAATAAGGCATCCAAAATTTACCTCGTTGACCATCTGAAAAGGCTTTTAATATTATAATTCTTTGCATTTTACCTAAAATCTATCGTTTACCTGAAGTTTCGAAGGTGATGAAGTAGGGTTCATAACCCTCTGATACAAGCTCATCATATGATTTTCCATTGAAATCACCAACAATGATTTCGATAAACTTGTTCCAAAGTGACATAACGGCACTGTTATAATTAATTTTTCAATTAATAAGATCAGTGAATAATTAATCTTCCAATTGTAACTTACTTGTCTCGGGTTGAACCTTTCTCGATGACGGCAGCTTTTCCAGGATAAAGGTGATTGATCTCCATAGTATTGTAAACAGTTCCTGGGACAGTTTGTTCACTTCGACCAATAACTTTCCAGTCTCCTACAAACTAATTGGATAAAGAAGCATTAATAATGATAACTATGATGATTGGATTGAGTTAAACTTACTTCATTGAAGTGCCGATGAGGACCTTTGGGTTGGCGTATTTTTGGACATGAGCCCTTGATTTTAACTGCAAATGAGCTTGAGATTGCAAGAGCAATTAAAGCAACAAACAAAGTTGACTTCATCTTTAACGAAACTGTTGGTAACAAAGTATTAAATGTAATGATCAAATGAAATAACTGTAATGACTTGAAATCATGCGAGAAAACTCCTTTTTATACACAATAATCAAATGTTAATGTGTTAATACACATGTCGAATCACTGTCAATTCTAATGTTTGGAATTTTTTCGTTTAGCGTAAAAAGTTATGATTTTAATATCGTGTAATGAATCTCAAAGAGTAACAAATCCAATGGATCAACAATGGAATTTGGGTGATGAAAGCAACGTCGATCAAACGAAAATGCTGTCACAAATTGATGTCTCTTGTAATATAAAATGAAAACATGAAACTAAAACAAGTACATATTTCATGAACTCACCATCTGAAACAAAAGGCAATAGTAGTATACAGAAAGCAGGGTTCACCTCACCCTTAACTCACTTCCGTTTGTCGTTTTAGCGGAAGTGACGTCATAGTGAGGTGAACCCTCCTTTCTGTTTTGAAATTCAACGCCAACGATTCCGGCGTAGACCCTGTTACCTGAGTTAGAGGATTTAAAGGGGCGTGAGTTGAACTAGATAGCTCAGGAAGGTGTGAGGAGCGTTTGAGCCTTCGATGATGTCAACATACGATGAGTTAGATACAGGAAGTTATGAAGTTAATAGGAGAAAGATGAAAAATAAAGAGATTTAATGATATCATTATTAGGCTCAAAGATTGAGCATGAGAATCAATTGAAGGGGGAAATGTTTTAGAGATTGAAATAAGGCAAGGGGGAAGAAATAACACTTAAATCTATTGATTTTACTTAGCTTATGTTAATAGTTAATTAACTTATGAAGTCATGTAATTTGACACCGATGTTGTCTAACTCACTCTTTAGATGATTTACATTGAGATAAGCAAGAATCATTAACCCTGAACAAGTTTTAAGATGATGTAATTTGACACCAATGTTTATTAACTTCTTATTTTGATACAGCAGTAGTATACAGAAAGCTTGAGTTAAAAGCTAATCGACTTATGAAGTCACGTGATTTGAAAAGGACGTATACTAACTCACTGTAATTTGACACCGAAGTTTACTAACTTTTCTAATGATGCTAAACACTGAAATAAGATAGAAATTTACCATGGGAATCTTAAATTATTTTATGTACTTTAATTCATTATAAAAAAAAAAAAAATGAATTTGATAGAATATTGCACATAAACTACTTTTCTATGGATGAAATACTGATTCTTGTTTTAAATTTTTTTTTTGTTGATATCTATAAATATCTTCGAATACATGCATTTAATTAACAAAGCTCAGACAGTCACAATGAGTAACACAAAGCTTGAAATCGTTAATCTTGTATCATTATGGAAAACAAGTAAACAGATTGAAATTGACACTAGGAATCAGATCTACAAAAAGAAATACAATGCTCAAGTAATTAAGGAAAAAGGAAATTGTTTATTAGTTTTTGCATCTGGGAAAGTAATAGCAACAGGATTCAAAACAGTGACAACGGTTGCAGAAATGTTCTCACGTTACTTCAAGCAAGTAAAATTGGAATTCGTGAGAAACATAAATTTGACTGTGAAAACGAAGCTACCCTTCAAAGTGAATAATCATAAATTGTTATCTGAAAATAACTGTTTTGAATATGAGCCTGAAATTTATCCAGCGATTTACTGGAGATCAGCGGGAATCTGTTTAATGTACTATGCTTCATCCTCAGTAGTTATGACTGGTAATGTAAGCATTGCAAAAATGGATGAAACATACAATTGTTTCGTTAGCATCGTTGAAAAATATCAAAAAAATTGAATGCGGTTGCGCAGTACTTTTATAATCAATATAAAAGTGTACAGTGAATTTTTTTTCGGTTCATAAAGTGAATCGTCTTCATATAATGAGTTTGTCTTCGAGTATATTGAAAAGTGAATTAATCTCAAGTTTTTCAAAATGTCTGATCTTCAGCAACAACAGCAAATAAATCGTTTGAATTGGACAAAAGCTTTGGAGCTAACTTTTTGTTCAAACATTCAAGTTTTTCTCTCCCATGGCACAAACGGACAAGTTGCCTGCTCACGATGTAATATTGTTGAAGTCAATGGTAGCCAATCAACAAGGAATCGCATAGCTTTGAGCTTCTCAGAGCTGAAAAATTATTGTAGCTTTTTGGAAAATTATGATCCTCAAACTAATCCTGTCTTTACTTATTTTGCTTTAACAATCACAAAAACACCTGCGAATAATATCATTGCTATCAAAGGTCATCAAAAATTTGAAGTAAATGAGAATAAGTACCTGGAACTGATCGATATTTTGTCTGTCTACAACAAGTTTCTTGAGACAAAGCGGATGGAATCATCTGAAAAATCAAATTTCTGTTTCTTGTTGGCAGACATTTATATTTATCTCCGGCTTGCTAATTTTACTGGTGATTCAGCAACCTGGCCTGTTATTCAAGATGATCGGATAGAAGAAGCTCTTCGCAGTCATCCCGATAACATCTTTGCACCTTTTCTTAGTAAAATCAAATGTCCATTGCAGTTAGATGTAAACATTACCGCAGACATGTTCAAAGAAAGAATCTCAGCCTCAAACATGCGAGTCATAAGATTCAGAATTGAAAACACTTCATTTCTGTCTTCTTTGATCAAAGTGATTAACAAATTTTGATGAAAAACCAATACATGTATTTGTTGTAATACAAATTTATAACCTTGTCTAAGAAATGAGAAAAATAATAAAGAATTCAAGAATTTAAAATGTCTTATTACAATGTTTATTTGAAGCATCCATTCACAATGATTGTGAGTGGCCCAACCGGTTGCGGCAAAACTTTTTGGATTAGAAAATTAGTGAATCAGGTTAATCAGTATTGCAAACCAGTTCCTACTAAAATTACTTATTTTTACGGTGAATATCAGTCAATTTTCGAAACATTCAATAATGTTGAGTTTATCAGAGGACTTCCTGATGATATTTTAGATAGGTTTGATGGTACTAGCCCTGAATGGATTATTATTGATGATCTAATGATTGAATCAGCTAGCTCAAAAGCGATAAGTGAGATGTTCACAAAAGGGTCACATCATCGTAACTTATCAATAATCTTAATTGTACAAAATTTCTTCATGAGAGGCAATGAATCACGAAACATAACGCTCAATGCACAATATCTAGTTTTATTCAAGAATCCACGTGATCAATCATTAGCAACAAATATTGCAAGACAAATGTTTCCACTAAAATTGAAAAAATTTCAAACTATATATCAAGATGCAACTCGAGACCCTTTTAGTTATCTTTTTATCGATCTTAAACCTGACACTCCTCAAGAAATAAGACTAATGAAAAATATTCTTGGAGAAACTAATTATGCTGTATCTTATTTACTGTAGTTGTATAAGAATTTTGAAAAACAAATAATGATGAATCATGACTTTGAAAGGATGTTTATTATGTTTGCCTTCATTGAAAGAGTTGGCTAAAGCAAAAACTGCAATCAAGCGTGAGAAGATCCTTAAACATGCATCTCCAAAGATCTATTCTGTGATAAGTGAGATAATAAGACAAGTTTTAAAAGGAACAATTAAAATTCCTGGAAAGGCAATAAAGAAACTCAACCCTTATAAGAAAACTTTGAGAAAAATAGCATCTACAAAGCTGCACAACTTAAAAAGAAATCTGATCAATCAGCGAGGAGGAGGTTTTTTATCAAGTTTGTTGATTCCGGTAATAACAATCCTAGGTAGAATTGCAGCAGATAGAATTTTAGAATGAACACTGTTACACGTATGGCTCTGATCCCTGAAGATCAATTACAGAAAATATACCATAGAAATACAAACTCATTCGAAACTTTAGTGAACTCTAACCTTCCAAATGAAGTTAAAGTAAACTTGCTCACTAAAATGCTAACAAAATATGACAAATTTTCAAATAAAAGTATACCAAATATTCAAGCTTTGCAGACTGACCTTCCATCTTTACAATACTTTCCAAGTGACGGACTCTCAACAATTTCTGAAGCTTCTATCAAAAACTCAACATCTAGTAATTATTACCCTCCTGAATATAATCAACCAGAAATACATGATGGAGTAAGACAGCATATTTCACTACCTCTGACGTCAACACCTAAGAAAGAATCGAGAGTTAGATTTGCAAAATATGAAGAACCAATAACACGAGATAAAACTTTGGAAATGACTCTCAGAAACATTCCAAAATTAGTTGATGAACAAGGAAACATTTTGGATAATATTGGGAATCCAATAGCCAATAGTAATATTCATGATATAGTTCATTATTTGAGAATCAAACATCCTTCACCCAGAAAGCAGAAAATGCCAATAAAAGGTCTTGGAAGGGTCATTAAAGTTATAAGAAAGAACCCTTCAATTCAACATTATGTTGCAAACAAACACGTAAAAGATTTAATGCAAAGAGCTGATACTACAGCTGATTTGACATGGACGAATCTGAAACGTCTAGCGTTTTGAAAAAGATATACTATGATCCAACATCTGGTGGCTCATTTGGAGGTTTGAAAAAATTGTTTGATGTAGCAAGAATCAAATTACCTAATTTAACAATCAATAAAACAGTTGATTGGTTGAACAAACAAGAAACATATAATTTGTATAAGCAAGTCAAAAGGAATTTTTTAAGGGTACCAATCCTTGTTGATCATATTGATGAGCAATGGCAAGCTGACCTACTTGACATGTCCTGGATCTCCAAAGAAAATTCAAATGTCAAGTATTTACTAACGTGTATTGATACATTCAGTCGATATGCTTGGGTACGTCCTCTGAAGAACAAGAATGCTTCATCAATAATTAATGCATTTGAAAGCATATTTGAAGAAAGGAGACCTCAAAAATTACAAACAGATCAAGGCAGAGAATTCATTAATAGTTCATTTCAACATCTATTACAATCATTAAACATACAGTTTTTCACATCTACAGATGACATAATCAAGTGTGCGATAGTTGAAAGATTCAACAGAACCTTGAGAACAAGAATACATAGATATTTACACTCAGTTAATAGTTTACATTACTTGAATAGTTTAGAAGATATTGTATCAGGTTACAACAACTCTTTTCATAGAACTATTCAAATGGCGCCATCAGAGGTTAACAAAAATAATGAAGCGCAAGTCTTGTCAAATATAAGAAAAAGTCACAAGAAAATCTCAAGTTATCCGAGACCATACAAAAAAGATCAACTAGTTAGAATAACAAGAGCAAAGGGAGCATTTGAAAAAGGTTCAACTAGCAACTTCACTGAAGAATTATTCAAAATAGTTAAATTGAAAAAGACACCTCAAGGTTACATCTATCATTTAGTGGATTGGAATAATGAACCAATTACTTCAATA